CAAGAATTGACAGTGAAGAAAAATAAATGGCAAATTGATTCGATAGAAACATCGTGGAACATCGAATTGAATTTGTTGCAGATATATAGGCTGCTTTGCAGCATCAACAACAGCAGCAGCTTCTTCTTCTTCTTCTTCTTCTTCTTCTTCTTCTTCTTCTCGTTCTTCTTCTTCTTCTTCTTCCAGAAAACAACAACTGTGTGTTATGTTGGCTTTTGAGGAGAACAGAAAAGAACTGCTGAACAGAACAGAACCGCCAAGGCAGAAGGCATCAGCCATGCGGTATCCTTCATCCATTCCTATCCCCCTTCGCTCAACCTTCCCCCTCCTAATCTCCCAGTCTCTGCAAAATCATTGTCACTATATCGACCAAAAATATGGCACAAATTTGCTGCCCTATGGTACTCAGCTAAAAGATTGTTGCAGTTAGGGCTACCGGATTTGACATCTATCCGGAAACCACTGGCTTCCTCTTCCGGTACAACAATAGTAACGGCTAACAACGATAATGATGATCATGGGAGTCATAAAAATTGTTGCGGCAAAAATTGAATAAATTAACGAACTCACTGACTAGCTAACTAACTAACTGACTAGCTGAGCAATCAGCCTAGTTAAGCTGAAACAATTGATGTAAATCAACGACGATAATTGATGGTCAAAAGAAAATGTACAAAAATTGCTCGCTAAAATTATTATTTTCAAAATTTTCTCCCATACTTCCTTTATGTTCGTTTTCCAGCTTTTTCCGACCCTTTTTTCACCCATTTTTTGACATCCCCTCTTTTCAACTTGATACAACTTAGCCGAGGTTAACACACAGAACAACGGCACCAAAAAAAAAGAGATTCAAAAAAAAACGAAAAATAAGAGTGGGGAAGAAAAGCAGCGCAAAATAATGCCAAACAAAATCAACAGATATAAACTATTTCATTTTTTGGACACTTACAACTTTGAGCGAGGAGAAAAAAATGAAACTGAAGCAAAAAAAAAAAAAAAAAAAAAAAAA